GTGCAGAAAAGAAAGCTTACAAACTTTTTTTAGAAGTAAGGTAGGTTTTGTCGCTCTAGTTGAACTTTAGTCGAATGATTCATAAATATTTGGTTTAACCGTAAAATTTGCTTTAAGACAAACAAGATCTAAACTCAGCTGAATCTCTTTAACATCAACTATTTTCTCACAAAGGTCACTTATTCTTTATTCCATTTAAAAATAATGTAAGAAAAAGAAAGACTAATAAAAGGTTGAATATGATAACGATAAAAGATAATCACGTCTGCTGAATTCCCCTCAGTCACTGAAGCAACAAGACGTTCTACGCCTGCAGTGTTTAGATAAAGAAAAAAGAAAAGGCAGATCAAACCTTGTGGTTTGATCTGCGTTAATTCTTACAAACATGAAACTCCGATCTTATCAAGATACTGTTGAAACTGTGACWTTTAACGTCATCTGAAACATTTACAGTCTTTGGGACTTAAATAAACAGAACGAGATGATTAATGTTTTATGAAACTGTACAGGAAAAACACATTTATAATAAATCAAAYGGAGGCATTGATAAAAAATATTTAGAAAAGATTTACTGCATGAACAAGAAAATTTGTGTGATTAAAATGTTTTCTTTTGTTATAACAAATAAAGAAAAGGTCATTAATCTTATTTTAAAGCTGAAACATTTTTTGACAAAAACAGTTTTATAGAAACAAACAAAATCACAATTTTTTTGTTGCACTGTTTATTATTCCCACTGAAGACTAAAGTTTATTCCCAGTTTTAGTTTGTCTTTACTTTATATTTTTTGTCCCACAGACTAACAATAATATTATTTTTACTATTTTAATATTTAATATTAATATCTGGACTATTTTACTGATTTGTTTTGAAGTTTCTGAGCGTTCAGTAACATGATGTTTCCTGCAGGGTGCCGGAATCGTTGCATGAGCGCTACATTTCTTGCCCGACGCGAGCACTTCCTCAAAGACCCTCCCAGAGATATACAGACCCCGCCCCTCCTGTACCTCGCCGCCTGCGGTGATGACCACACAGCTCTGCTCCGGGACACGCCCACAGACTCTTTGCCCTTCAAACTTGTAGTTTGAGGGAAATTTTAGTGTTTGAGTGTTTTGAGTTGAGTTTCTCATCAAACGTTTCCTTCTGCTGTTTCGTTGTAAATGTTAATAATTTGTATCTTCTGTTTGTGTTAATATCTGTGCTAATTATAAGTAACAATTTTGAAAAAGTCATAAATCCTAATTAAAATGTTTTGCTGAAATCTTCTGTTCAGATGGTTTAAATATTAAATGTCATGTTTCTTTGTTACTTTGTTTTTTTGTTCAGTTTTATTTTAGAGAAATCAAGAATTTTATAATAAAATGTGATAAGTATAACTTTAGGTGCTTTAGATTTATAAAACTCAAAAAAGTAAACAAAATTATTTTTTGTAGATTACATTTGTTAAAATACACATGCCTTAATGAAGCGTTATAATTACCTCCTAGATGGATGTAATTAAAACCCCACTTACCATAGCCATACTTACTTCAATAAGTGGTTTGATTARAAGTTACAACARCCTGCCATAATACAGTTTTAATTGTTTGTCAATTAGTATGATTGTATGTTATAATAGCCTCCCAAACAACCATTTTAGTTAGGTCAATGAGTTGTTTGGTTATATGTTACAATGGCCTGTCATAAAATAGAGTTTTAGTTATGTCAATGAGTCTATATGATTCTTACAACTGTCAGCCATACAACTGTTTTAATTATGTCATTGAATGTTATAATTATATGCTACAACGGCCTGCCATAAACAGTTTTAGTTATGTGAATGAGTGGTATGATTATATGCTACAATGGCCTGCTGTAAAGGTATGATGATATGCTACAAAGGCCTGCCATAAATGGTATTAGTTATGTCAATGAATGATATTATATGCTACAATTGCCTGCCWCAAAACAGTTCTAATTATGTCAATGAGTTGTATGAATATATGTTAAAACGGCCTGCCACAACCAGTTTAATTTATGTTAATGGTTGTATGCTATGATTGTATGCTACAACGACCTGCCATAAACAGTTTTAACTATGTCAATGAATGTTATGATTATATGCTATAACGGCCTGCCATAATCGTTTTAGTTTAGTCAATGAGTGGTATGATTATATGTTAAAACGACCTGCCATAATCGGCTTTAGTTGTTTTAATGAATGTTGTGATTATATGCTACAACGGCCTGCTGCACAGGTTTAAACGTGCTGCAGTGTTTACGCAGCCCGCTGGTGGAGAACAGCAGCAGCAGCAGCAGCAGCTCCACATGATCCAGCTCTTCAGAACTCACCGTGTTCATCTGAGAGCCCAAAGCTGGATTACCAACAAACACAGGTGGGTGTTTATTTATTGTCTTTGTTGTTATTTACTCTCCTGAAGCCTAAAGTAAACAAGCAGCTGATATTCAGCTGATGGTTGCGCGACGCGACTCTGCGCTGCGTCTTTTCAGTTTCCCAGAAACCAAACGGTTGGAGTTTGAGTTCAGCAGAGTTCGGAGGATTTGTGGACTGACTCGGTGGATTTACAGTCWGCAGTCCGGTGGACCGGTGTCCCGGGCTGGAGGACGGTTCTGCTGCAGCAGAGACCCGTCCAGTCTGGGGACATGTGTCCTTTAGGTGCAGCACTTGATGCTGAGTCCACAGAAAGGAATTCCCTCTGAATTCATTTGATGTGTGAAGAGTCTGAAACTGAGTTCCTGCAGGTTTTACATGATGAAGCTGTCAGCAGGACCAGCAGGACCCACGGGACGGGTCCAGCTCCTGGTTCTGACAGCAGATCCTAATGGGATGCACATTATGCGGCACAGAGCTTGATGGACATGATGCTTGGACAGTTTGGACTCTGAGGCTCCCGTCCTTCCCTCTGTGGACAGCACCAACAACCTGTGCTGTTATTGACACAAGGAGGACATTTATGTCCCTCCCTGAGGACACAGTGAACACCTGTCCTCAGCACGAGGACAGACTGCTGACAAACACCTGGATGGGTAACTTTTGAACTAAAACAACAACAAAAACTTGCAGAAAAAAGGTTAAAGTTTAAGTAAGTTAAAGTTTTTGTAAGGCAGGGTTCTGTGGAGAGGTTATAAACAATATCTTACCTGTTGTAGATAACTCTTTGACCTCAGTTTGATGAGCTAATAGCTAGTCCAAGTGGATTGCTGCAGTCTTAAAACAACTTCCACCTCTAAAATTTTACGGTGCAAAATCTTCGGCTGTTTTTACGCAGGACTTCGGCTCGCGGAGTGCTTAGATTCAAGAACAACTTCCTCTGTATCACGCGTCAAGTGTCAGAATAAATCCAGGTTGGTGGGTTTTCTTTCGGTGTGTTGAATCCGTGAAGCAGAGCCGCTCAGGTGGGACGTGCTGGGATGAAACCAGCGCCTGAGTTAATTTTTTATGACGCTCCTTCCAGAGTCGCGTTTCACGGCTCTGCTGAGCTGGAAAACAGACACCGCTCGAAAATAATTAAAGGACTTCCATTCCTTGAAGGAACGCATGTCGGCTGCTCGTTGTAGGAATGACCCTCGGCTACTACCGTGCATGCGTTTAGCTCAATATCTGTAAATTTGACTGAATTGTAGCCATTGTTGTGTTTTATTATTTATATTCAGTTATAGATCAACCAGTCATTTATGGAAGTTTCATTAGAATCTGTCCAATGGTTTATAAAATATTTTGCTGACACATACAGAGACACAGTCCTTTTTTTCCCTCTAATATGCTTTAATGAATTTTTATTTGTAATAATAATAATAATTATTATT